TAGCAAAATAGCAGTAAAAACCGTAAATATGCAAAAAATAGCAAAATAAAATTTCGTGTATGACATCAGAGAAGTTCACAATATTTGTATCTTACTTTGGATGTTCTAGGACGAACCAATAAAAATATGCATTTGCTAGAACTTCCGAGCCCTGGTTATGACCATTAAAGTTCATGAACACTTTTTCATTCATATGTGAACGATTTGTCACACGACCGCCGCAAATATATTATAACGATAGTAGCCGTACCACATTTACATTGTGATTGACTGTCTTTGAGACTATTGACTTAGGTATAATATTAGAATTCAGAAACTATTCAATTTAGAGAGTGTGATATTAATAGCAGTGACATAATGCCGTTTTTTTTTTTTTGTAATGTTACATAAATCCGTATATATAATAATATAATACCTTCGTATACAATATACGACTCATTATGGAACCCTCGCAGATATCCTACCCTCATGCGCCGCCGCCCGTCCATGTTCGTGACACACATATTGTCCCGACTTCGTGCGCCGAAACTTTCTCAGCTTCCCAATGATTTCCATCATACACATATATAAGATATAAGATTTATATATATAATACATCTCACACACGCATATAAGTGTGTATATAGGTACACTCCGCGATTTAGCATTGAAATGCCGTGTTTCCCCGACATATTATTACATTGTATAGGTATAGTGCACGGTCACCGCAGCTCTGTCGTCACTCTTCGTATGATGTGCAGTAGATACGCGTCGTACGCATACCACGATACGTGATAACGAGTGCTCGGGGGGGGGGGGGGGTGAGGGGAAAGAGGGACATAACGTCGAATTCACGATTTTGTTCACACTGAAGTCTGCAGCAGACACCGGCGAGGGACGAAGACAAAAACCTATTATAGGTACTATTCAAAAACCGATTAACAGTTGCCCTTCGTCGTCGTCGTCGTCGTCGTCGTGGCCCGCGCCCGAACAACCACACTAGGTACCCCATAATATTATAATAATATACACCCGACAATAAATTATAATATTATTATAATAGCAAGTCCGAATCGAGAAAATATTATAATATTGTTATATTATGTGCGCGCCGGTGCTCATACCCATATACATGATATTATGTGCGCGTGTGTTAAAAAGCCGACGCCCGTAAGTAGGTTACTACGGCCCCGGGCGATTCGTGTATCGGTGGTGTGCGTGTATAATAAATGTTTCCATGTGTGTGTTTGTGTGTGTGTGTGTGTGTGTGTGTGTGCGTGTGTGTGTGTGTACTCGTTATGTACTGGATACGTTTCGACATATAAGAATCCTATCGAAATAAATAAAAATGACTTATCTGCTGCTGCAGTTACCTGTAGACCACTGCACTGCAGAGTAATACATATTATTATGAATTATAATATTATATGGGCTACCTAGCCATAAGATGAATGCAGGATACTGAGCTTTTAAAAACGTACCTATATACTGCAACTATTATAATATTATTATATATACCTAGTCCTGCTGTACGCTATTACTACCTACCCCATATAGGTCGTATAGATTGCACAGAGGTATGGGTAATATTATATTATTACTATTAAGTATTATTGTTACGGTCCATAGGTGGAGGATCCTATAAAATATTGAGAGGGGCTCAAATATTTGGTAGCACACAGATCCATGCACCCCTATCAAACTAACTGTTACATGTACCTATGTAACACAAACATATTGTCTATATCGAATGTAGTAATAAGTGGAAGTTTCTCGTTATGATAATATTTATAATAGCTATGGACATAAAAAGAGAAAATAATGAAATACAATTACAAATTTAAGTTAATGTTATTAATCTATTGCACTTTTTGTTAAATGTGTTTAAAACTTTAAAATAGGGTATAAAGAATATTTAATAAGGAAAACTTGAGATTATAATTACTAGAAAAGTAATATTGTACTATACAAAATACAATTGTGGACATAATGGAATTGTCCCATTTTACGTCTCACCCAAATTTCCCTTATATAATTTTATAATTTATTGATAGAATGATACTGATGCAATAGGTACAAATCACAAATGCACAATTAAAATATAATGTTATTTGATATTGTATATTGTGATTTGTGACATTGGGTATTGGTCGTTAATCGCAGTATGTTATCTTAAAATAAATTAATATCACATAGTTTTCACATATAACAAATGAATAGGTATAATAAAAAATTATCCATACACAATCATAATATGTAATCTGTACTAAAGAAGGATATTGATTAATTTTTAATTTTTAGGTGCGCTTTAACTTCAAATAAATTATTTTGGGGGGACTAAACCCCCCGGCTCTTCGCCTATGTTACAGTCTGACGATGATGAAATATAGTGCATATACACCTACTATACGCGTTCAAACGGCTTTTGTTTTCTGTTACCTATCGAAGTATCGAATTAAAGTTTAACAATTTATAAAGAGATGGTATAGAACAATCTGTATAGACCTGCCTATATGTAACCGTCCGGCCGTCTAAACTTTACCTTTATACACAAAAATTAAACTTCAGAGTTATTATATATAATGTAGTGTGTACCTACCTATATGTCCTATACGTCTTATGATCGACGTATCGACGAATATGGGGTTTGTAAGTCCTATAGCACCTATATGTACCTATTATAAGAGTTCATGAGCGTGAGTGTGTGAACCGGTAGCAGAAAATATGCTGTTGTGCAACCGAAAGACGTGCGGACGGAATATAATATGCACTGCGGTGTCTCGTTCATTATTATTTTATTCTCTCTTTATTTTATCAGTATTTATATTATTTTGTTTCAAGTTAATTTTTTTTTCACCAAAACATACGGTATAATATTTATTTTTTTTAAACCTTTTGAATAAATTGTTGGTCGATTAAATTTCACCGCTAATAATCTTAAAATAATATCGTGTCGGATAAATTATTTAACGACTTGTCTGAAAATAAAAAAAAATTGGATACCCGGAAATTCCACTATAATTTCCGTCGGGTCCTTTACCGGGCGGCCGGCTTTGCGGACGAAGCGTTTCACCTTTGGTTATGATGATGAGCTTCGGGCCATACCTACGTACCATATTACTGTTGTACGTGAACAACCTATACTATATGGCTGCGTATGGGTCGCGAGTGCCGCCGACCAGTAATTAGTTTTCTACCTAATAATGTTTTAACAAACTTATGGTTGTATGACGTCATGACATCACATAAATTTAATACATTGTGCATATAAAATACAATTATATTGTACCGACCGCTATTAAGAAATAAGAAAAGTAAAATAATTTTATGGAACACTGCTGACGGGTGTATGACATCCGGATGCGTAGTTAACTCCTTGAAATTTACATTTTGTTTTTCACTGCCCACTCGACACCACTAAAATTATACCAATATTATATATACCGCACTATCCCATAACGTTGTGTAAGTGGAATTTATAATATAAGCGCGTTTAAAATTATATAATTCTGATAGGTAGGTACTAAATGTCTAAATATAATATATTATATTGTGTACTTAATAATATTATTTGTGTAAAAATATAAATAATCAATTCTTTCAATATATCGATGAAACATTATGACGTATAAATATCTCCTGACCTCCTCTACATTATAGGTACATGCATTAATAATACTGTATTAATTTCTCCTAAATTATGCGGGCCTTCGGCCTCCCTATGTAAGCAGCCGCCGTAGCTGGTCTATGCTTATTTTTTACTACAACTGTTCTGTATATAATTATGTATTGTGCATGATAATATGTACGATAGTATGAATACATATATATATATATTTAAACTTTTATACAATTACCGGTTTATGATAATATATATATAATAAACATGATTTATTTTTAATTGGAGTACTTCTTTAAAAAAAAAAAATACTTTAGCGTGCATAGATATGGTTAATCAAGCATATACCTAATAATAATTCATTAATGGGGTTCAAAACAAACGTAGGTACTTAAGCTTCTTTACAGACTTTCCCAAAAATCACACTACCTACCTATAATATGCTTTTTATTTCGCATGACGTCCGGTTTGCAACATGTGATGATGTACCTAACTGTTTATTCGAAAATTACTATCGTATTCCAGATCTACTATAATGTAAGATTTGACGAAATATTATACGATTCGTATAGGTACTCCTAGTACCAAATAAGTTTTTACCTAAACATTCAAATTTTGTAGAACCTATAATGGTTCATTAATTCTCAATATACGTATATTATATTATATCTTCGCTCATTTTCGTTTATGACGTTACTCGTTATTGCATTAATTAATACGCGTTCTATTTTTGTTTTACGTCTCGAACACGCATAACGTCAAGACACATTTAACCTACAAATTCAACCATATATGCGCTTAATATGATACGTAGGTATATAATATACAGCGACTACTACAGACGCTTTATAACCCAGTAACACATAATATTATTATAATAAGTGTACAACCGTAATATTATATACTGGTATATTATAAAAAATGTTTATGTTTACAAGAAGAAAAATAGACCTAACCTTAAACTCAAATTAGACTTGATGGATGTTTCTCCTTGATTGCGTGGAAAGCTATTTCGTTAAATCAAACGTTCGACTTGTATCATAATTATACAGTTATATTATATTCACTTATATATTAGTCTTCCTTGCAAAACCCACGTTCGTTATACGCTGCCGTTTAATCTACCACTCATTTCGTATTACTATTGTATACACCGCCGCGGATACCGGATGTATCTGCGGTGGCCGACCGATCCGATCGTTGATTTATGATTTTACAATAATAATTTTTTTATTATGTGTCTGTTTTGCAGATTGAATTGTCGCCGTCTCGTTCCGCGATTACTTACGACAGTCGTTCGCACGTCGGTTCGGACACGCGTGCTTCCCCGTTGAAAATGTGATTTGGGTGCACGACCTGCAGGTGGAATACCGTTTGGACCGAAATTCGATTTCACAATATTATGGACGTTGCGTCCACCGACTACCTAAAGACTGCACTGTATTCGGGAGACAACGGCCCGGACACGGGTAACCGAGACAGCCTCCGACTAATGGAGCTTGGGCTCCATCTGGAGACCCTTCACGACGGATCGCATCGGATCAACACTTCGGTGGATCACCTGCTGAACGACCCGTCCCTGTCAGGTGAGGAGCACTATTATTACCGTTGTTATTATAATATTAATAATAAATATTAACACGAAGACCTTTCGATTTTACATCTAAATAACATGGCATAACACGACATATCTCCGTGATACACTCTCTATACCTATTTTTAATATAACTGGCACGTGCCATTATTTGTTATTGTACAGTTGCACAGTGAGTTCTATCAAAGTGTAATATTATGTTATAATGTACGTTTGGTATTACTTGAAATATATTATAGTAAATTATATCTGCTTATGTATGAATATAAATAATCGTGTGCATATAAAATGTGCTTGTAAATCGAACTTATTTGGAAATATCGTGTTTGTCTGAGTACAGAGAGGAACAACAACGAATTCACGTTCGCCAACAACAACAATAACAACAGCAACAACAACAACAACAACAGCTTCGAGACGATCATTAGTGGCGACCACGGCTTCGACTTGGACTGCACGCCCAGCTCGTTCAACGACAAGTCGGACATAGTAGACCAATGGCGGACGTTAAACACGGACGGTGCCATCTACACGGTGGAGGTGGTCAACAACTCGGATGGCGGCGTCGGCGAACCACTGTGGTGCATGCCCGCGCTAACCGAACACCACCAGGACTCCAACGCGGTGAGCAACTTCGACGAGTCGCTGTTGTCCATGAACGGCGCCGAATCCACGGACCCGGTGGGCTCTGGAAGGTACATCAAATCGGAACCTTTGGGGGAGTACATCAAACAGGAACCGTTGACGGAGTACATCAAACAGGAACCGCTGCAGGAGTACATCAAACAGGAATCTGTCGAGTATACGGGCGATGAGCTTCTTCGGAACGCGTTGCTGGGCAAAACCAATCATAACCACCACCAGAGGTAAAAACCACACATAATATATTTCATATTTATATGTATTATGCATATTATTATTTTAAGGCAACAAAACACTAGAAAGTGACTAACTTTACAATTGCAATTGAAACTTTACAATTGCATAACATAATGAAACATCACGCATCACATTAAAGCTTTTTCAAACACTTAGGATATGAGCAGAGCCGTGTTAAAGGGGGGGACAAAGGAGGCAATCGCCCCGGGCGCCATAGTTTTGTAAAAGTAAGGGGGTGCCTTTATTTGCACTTAATATGCCTATATAATATACCTACGGCCCAAATTGTAAGGAAGGGGCGCAAATTGCCCCGGGGCGCTGAATTGCTTGACACGGCTCTGGATATGAGCTAAAATATATAATTGCATCTGGTTCTTTTATTGAGTTTCACTATACTAATGCGCGATGCAGCCAATCTAAAATGTGTCAACGATTGTTACAAAAAGTTTTCAGACGTGATTTGTCGTAGTCTCATCACGAAAATATATATTTAAATTCATTAACGGTGTGCAAATGCAAAATGTGTTTAAACTTTTAAAGGTTAAAAAATTAATTTAAATACAAGAAATCCGTAAAATTAAAAACAAAATGATAATAAATAAATATGTTCGAAGAAAAATTAACTAAAAAAAGTTTAATTTAAACTGTATACTATTCTGTATTCATGAAACGCATTTTGAAGCTATTACATATTTACTTTACAACCCTTAAAACAATGCTCTAGAAGTCTAAACCTAAAGTGTTAATCATGCAGGCACTGCACTACACTAAAGTGTATTTTAGTTGCATATATTATGCACGTGTTATAGACTGACAGTAAATTATAAATCTATAAACACCGTTCGGTATTTGTTTCTCTATTCGTGGTAAGTAGTTTTGAGGTGTTTCTGGTTGCTTCTGGTTATATATAAATATAATAAATAGTGATTATTAAGAAGTCGCGTGTACGCCTATAGAAACGGTGACTTAACTATGCTCCATGTGCTCAGGTACGGCGACAAGGACGCCAAGCCATCGGTGTCGACCGCATCGGACAGCCAAAACTCGTCGCCGGGACCGCAGTCGATGCAAGATGTCTCGTCGTACCCGTCGACGTCCACCGTGGATATGCAAGACGTGCTGGCGACGAACAGCAACTGCAGCAACGGCATCAACGGCAACACGATCGTCATGATCGACGACGATATGCCTTCGATGTCGCTGCTGGTGGCCGGTGACGGGGCCTCCGCGCAGAACGTCGATGATCTCCTCTTGCCAGACTTTGACTTCCAATACATCGATGGCCTGGACAGCGACATGTCTCAGTCGTTCCAGCAGTACTGCCCCACTAGTCAAGGGTTCGTGTCCTTCATCGCCGCTGAGGTAAATATTATGCATTTTTTTGTCCGCCCCATATAAAATCTCCTCTCGATCACACAACATCCTGCATAACATAACAATATAATGTACGCACATGACTTTGGACTCGTCGCCGAAATCAAATATATTACCAGACGGACACTTTTCATTGTAGACATTTTTTTTTACGAGAGTTTAACACCACACGGGTGACTAAAATATCCTTTCGCCTGCAGATCTCTATCTCTATGCAGGTACTTTCTTAAATCGATAGTTTTTTTCTTATAAATAAATAAATCATTCGTATGCATTTTCAAAATGTATAAACTACTTTCCAAACATCTTTTCGTATTTCAAACGATCTGTTAACACTGATTAAGTAAAAAAAAAAAAAGCTATAAAATTGTAGGTATTTGTGCAAATACGCGAGTCCAGTTTATTTGCAAGAAGATCTTTAACCCCTGCGTTAATCGAATAATTCTGCACCGTAGAAGCTGCCGATCCCCGTCATCTATATATATACTAAACAAATATTAATCATATTTATTACATAATAATTATTATATTAGTATAATATAATAGTTAGGTACGAGCCACGAGGTGCAGTGTTGTTATACCGTGCGTATAGAACTGACATAATATTGTTTTAAACCAGTTGGCATTAAACGTTTTGCGAAATCATAAATGATCCTGCGGTGAGCTGGTCTTAAAATATTATAGTACTTATAATATTATGTTCGTGTATATTTATAATGTGTGTACATACTACATGTAACAGTAACACTACTTACCTATATAGAGCCGCCTTATGGAGATTTAATCGCTGTAGGTACATTAATCCTTCGTTATAATTATTCCTAAAATATTCGTAAAATTATAGCTCGAAAATTATAATGTTGATTTTAATCAAACGCCACAATTGGTTGCAAATAGCTATTATTAACAGATAGAAAATAACTTCGTCAACAATTAAAATAAGTGTACAATATTTATTTATGCCAATATCATTTTTCGCATTTTTTTTTTTTCAATATGCAGATAGAGATAAAAATATTCTAATGTTGCATATTATAAATTGAAATTAAAAGTAAAACTTAAGTGCCACATGAAAACAATACTATAGGTATTGTGATCTATGTACAATAGTAGGTTATAATTAAGCATAATACATAATACAAATAATCGGCGGTACACTCGAGAAGAGTGATGATATTATACGACGTTAAAGCCACTCAAATGTCATCTAAAATTTAACACTTTAATTCATTGGTGTACCTACATTGTCTTAATGCGAATTGTAAATAGCGATTATATAAAAAATATATTATCGTTGCTGTAATTCTGTCTACCGATTACTCAGGAATCGAAAAATTGTATACCTCTTAAATCATTAAAACTCAAACAAATTATATTTATACCTCGCAGGGTCACCCACACGGTCAAACCCCACGCACACCCTTTGAGCAGGTAATTTATACATACTCAGACCGCTGTTTATTGTTGTTACCACCAGGGATGTGAATTTAATGATTTCACATTTTGATGAATCAATTTCATTTAGAGTTCAAAATAATTGAGTTACAAATTGAATTCAAGATATTATCAATAGGAAAGTTTATTTTGCATACTATCTATCTATTTTCATCAATTAGACATAGTATATTGATGTTAATTGATTCGAATGCCTATGCAATATGTTTTATTATGTTGTATAAATGCATATACCTTTATAACTGTAATTTTTAATTTTTTTATAGATATTCGGTGAAAACTTATGGATTTGGCATTAACACCAATATATATTATAATATTTAAATATAAACATTTTATTTTACATAAATTATTTCAACAAATAATTTTTATATGATTATCTATTATTTGCTTTTTTTTTATCTATTATTTTATGATGATGACAATAATAATAATAATGTGTTATTATATTCCGTTTGTGTAGGTGGCGAACATATCGCAAATCCCGGCAACGGTGGTGCTGGACCACCGGGAACTGGAACAGGTGTCCACGTCGTCTTCATCGTCACCACCCGTCCGACCGGCTAAGAAGTACAACCGTCGATCACACCACGCCAACGGCAAGACGAAACAGTCGGCCGGCGGCGGCACCGGGACGTCTATCGCCGGTTCCGGTGGCGGTGTGGGTGGCGGCGGCGGCGGACCTGCTTCGGCGTCGGGTGACGACCAGCCAGCAGGGCACCCACCGGCCAAGAAAGAACGGTCGCTGCACCATTGTCACATATGCAGCAAAGGCTTCAAGGACAAGTACTCGGTGAACGTGCACATACGCACCCACACCGGCGAAAAGCCGTTCATGTGCACCGTGTGCGGCAAGAGCTTCCGGCAAAAGGCTCACCTCGCCAAGCACCAGCACACGCACACCACGCCCGCCAAACCGGCGCAATCGCTGTCGTCCGTCACGCAATCAGTCAAAGGCGGCAGCGGCGGTGGCGGAGGTGGCAGGAGGTCCACGTCCAGATAGCCCGGACCGCAGCCGAGTATCACCACTGAGTCACCGTCATTACCATCGCCACCACTACACTCACCATCGATGCTACCACCATTTACCACCAATTATCATACCAATACCAACGTCCAAAACCACCACCACCACCACCACCACCATTGACCTCTGACCTATATCTCCTACGGCAGCCCGGAAACGTGCCGAAAACGAACGAAAAAAAAAAAACAGAACGCATTCCTCATCCGCGTTGTTGTAACTATACATCCGTTTAGACTGCACGGAAAATAATATTATTATTGTTATTATTATAATAACAACAACAATAATAATAATAATAATAGTTGTATTATTATTTTTATTATACGTATATAAAGGCGATGATCGTGTGTGTGTGTGTGTGCGTGTACTTACACACTACACACTATAGACACGCGTGCTTTATTACGACGACTCGGCCAATCTTTTTCTCCACCCGGAGAAATCGTTTCTAATGTGATGATTAATAAGTTAACCTCATTAAAGAATATTAATGTAATAATAATCGCTTTACGAATCAAAATATTCAAAAGTATTGTTTTTTTTTTACGTGTAACTTTTTTTTATAATTTTTAAGTTTATATTCGCCTTGTACATTATTTAATATTTTTCTACGTTACAATAAGATTTAGATTTTTTTAAACGAATAATTATAACACACAAATATAAATATATATATATAGCATATTACGTATATATCAATACATTGATAGGTTTATAAAAATATTTGATCTATATTTATATAATATAATTCTCGTGTACTATTCCGTCCTGAGGCCTGTGATAGAAATGAACACACTGCAGCTATACTAATGTTGCGAAACGATATTGATGTAATATTATTTAGTCACGTTTTTTGTGTATTATAAAATATATATATTATATTATTATTATTATTATTATTTTGTTGTTATAAAAATGTTTAGTTTTTATGTTGTATTCGTTTTAATATGCGTGTTATAGGTGTTCCTAAAGATTACCTTGACACCGGACTTTAATTATTAATATATCATATTAATAATATATCATGTATGTATATACGAAAGCAAAATAAAGTTTAAAATAAAACTAGGTAATTTATTCGTGTTACTTAATTTTTTTAAGAACTTTAGGCCTATAATACTTAAATTGAATTAAACAAATTAGAAACGTAAGTATTATTTAGATAGCCAAAATGTTTTTTTCTTATTTTTTTTTTTTCTTATAATTCTTATTATTATTATTATAATTATTATTTGTATTATTATTATTAATATTATTATTTAAAACACGTAGTAATATTTGTACTAAAGTAATATTATTGTTATTTTTAATTCCATACGATGACGATGAAGTTTTTCATATATATTATTTGAATACTTGCCAAATAGCAATAGGAACAATTTAAATTTTATTAATATCTATTTCTTGTGCCATACACAATAATAAACATGACATTATAGTAAATAGTAAAATGTTCTAATACATGACAATTTTAACTACTACGCGTTTACAGTATTATAAATAAGAACAACGTTTTAAATGTACACTTTTCAATTGGAAATATATATTTATATATATTATCTTTTCATAACAAATTTTAACTTTTATATCCATATATAATAATATGTATCTCAATTTATTAATAAACAAATACTTATATACGTCATTCCTGCAATAATTTTGACTGTGATTTATAAAATGAATTATCTTTATGTATTTTCTCATTATATTTAAAATAGTAACATTCCATTATTTTATTTTATAATATAATATAACTTTAGAGGAATTTTTTATTGTATACATGCGGTTTTATTTCGAACAATAATTATTAATGTTATCGTACATGTAGGCCAAATGTATATCATTTTCATGTATACCAACTCAGTATTTTTGTAAGTTTTTTTTTTGTTCGTATCTGTTTTGTAAAATTAATGAAAATTATTTATTCCTAATGAATTGTACATTTATAATAATTGATATATATATAATATAAATATATATATGTATGTATATTATATATTTCGTATTATAATGTGTGTATATACAATATACATATTATGTAGACATATATATATATATACATTTTATATTTTCATATTAGCTTGTTTTTTTCTTAAATCCCATTTTTGTGTGTATATTCTGTCTATGAAGATATAATATGTAAATGAATATATATATATATATATACACCAGGTATTACACCATATTACACCTATACATAAAATGTAATTTATTATCATTATCATTTAACAATATCGATTTTCTTTTTTTTATTATAAGAAACATCAAATTATTATAAACGACTATCGTATTCTTGTTTGTCATAAATCATAATAAATGGAAGTATAAAAACATTGTAATGAAAGCAATAATCACATACTAATATCATGCTAATAATGTGTAAGAAGCATGGGTAAATGAAACTATTTTGGATCAATGCAGTTAATCCAAAATAGGCTAATAATCACATTATTTTATTTGTACTCCATTCCGATCAAACACTGATTTCGTGTAGTTAAACGGTGATGACTGACATTGTACCTTGATGTCATTATAATATGTATTTATATATCAGAAATTTAATTTCCAAGATACACAAACAACTCACCTGGACGAACGTCAGTTAGTTAAAAATCATCATCGAGACTCTTTTCGCAAGACAATGCCAAACCACAAAAAAAATATGAAGGCTCTGTTGTTGTTAGATACAGTCTAGTTAGAGACAGATATATATTGTATTCCATTTTGATGTGCAGTGTTCCAATTGGATACAATCAAAAATATATCGTGTCGGGAATAACTATATTAGGGCGGGGGGGGGGGGAGTTGTATGATTTCGAATTTTTAATAATATAAAAAACAAATGTAATAATAATCAATATGACTATGCATTTTTGTGTCATTAGCCAAAGTACAATATATCGAACGCATCTTTAAAATTAATAAGATTTAAATGTATACAGTTCGCATGATATTTTACACACAACAATTTATTATAGTAGAGGTAATCATTTTAAATTGAAATGACTTAAAATACTGAAATATGGAAATTTAAATTAAATACAATTTTTGTTTAGTTTTTTATTTTATATATTTATACAATATCAAAATGGTTTACAATAGATAAGGTTTTTGAATTTATCCAAACATTAAAACTAAATAAACAGCACACTAATGTTTCATACGAATCTTAGAGTTTATTTTGAATATATTTTTTCATTTTCACGTTTTTTGAGGATGTTATCGCATAGTATATAATACAATAATTGGTGTTATTATTAGAATTTGAATATCATATATAGCAATACAATATGATATACTTAATACTATACACAAATAATACTTACGTGAAACCATAAGTGTCCATAAGCATTATGTTATTAAACTAACAAAATGTTAGTAATGTTCTTGTAGCAAAATTGCCTATACGAACTCCTTAAAATCGTTGTGTTACAAATAGTGGTACAATAGTATTCGGGCGGCATTCCTGTATAAATATAATATAATACCTACATTGGATCGATTTACTATTAACAAATGATTAAATTTATAATTGGAGTAAAATATTTATAATAAATTATAATGCAAACGTGTGCATAAACAATGTTTCAACATTTTATATAGTTCTATACCTACAATATAAATATATTTAGGACGCACCAATAGTAATAATTGATTGTAAATACTAAATAGTTAAGTAACCTAATGTATATGTAGTTTAAAAATTTCTTGAAAAATTTTAATAAAATACTACATACATCTGGGTTTTTCAAGTTATCAATTCAATGATATATATATGCGTGCAATACAATAATTAAAATAGGTACTTAATAAATATAAATTTACGGCTAAACGGTAATAAACAATAATGCACTGTATGTCTAACGGTTCACAGTTTTTATAATAAGACTAGAGTAACACAGTTTTTATATAAATTTAAAATTAAGTTATAGGTAAAAACATATTATATATCGTATAAATTCAATCTATTCATCTGTCAAATTTACCAAAAAAAAAATATATCAAGTTGAATATAGTAGACAATCATTGATAGAGCTTCAAGTGCTGTAAAAATTGAAATAATCGTAATCTCGAATAACCGCTGAATTTAATACAATATTATTTCGAGTGTTTATATTTGATGACGTCAAAATATATCGGTACGATACAAGCCAAATATGACAATACATGGTTTGAGTCATGTATATATATATATATTATATAATATACATGTGTAACCATTGTGCATACGTAGGTACACGACATTGATGGAAAAATATTTAAAAATAAAAAATGGAAAGGAAAAGAACCGCATGTGACAGTATATATAATGTGTCGGTGTTGAGATGCAGACATCCCACAGGGAACGGACCGGAGAATTTTTATTGGCTTTAATTAAACTTAATTGATTTCAATTGAAAAATGCGCCGGCGACCCCGTCGTATACACGCTGGTGATGCGATACTGTGCGGGTATTTTTTTTTTATTTTTTTTGTTTTGTTATTATTATTATTATTATTATTTTTTTTAGAGGAAAAATAATGCACTTTTTTTTTGTTCGTCTAAGGAACGGAACCGTTAAATCTACAGTCGTCACGTTAACTCACGAAGAATTGAAATCGGTCGTTTTCATTTGTGCGTGCGTGCTTTTTTCGACTTGACTACTTGAGTGTCACAAATTGTACGATATAAAATACAATATACATTATGATGTGATGTAATGTTATACGATCATAATATAATATTATAGTATATACCTACTGAGCGTACGGTTTTATCTTTATATCGAGAAACGTTATTACTTAATAGTGTTATTATGCGGCACATTTAACATTTTTATTGTTATTTTAATGACCATAAATAACGCTGTAAAAAAAAAAATATATATATATGTATTTACGTATGTATAAGCCCAATTAGTTAAAATTTACGCTCGCAATATTTAGACGAATTAGGCGAATTAGGCGTAGGTACTAGGTAGGTATATAATAATACCT